CTTGAAAGAAGAGAAGAAGAAAGGAGTGACTTTTTTTTGACACAAGTGCCAGCACCATCCAGTTACAGCTTTGTCAAGGAGCTTACAACTTGATTCAATGTGGACCTTGCAATAAGACACAACCAGACTTCAGACTAGCATAGAAAATTGAAGAGAAGGAGAAAGGAGTGGCTACGACACAAGTGTCAGCACATCTCAATAATAAGCTATTTGTGACAAGTTGAGTATTAGTCACAGGCTGCAATGACATGAAATAAGTGTTTTGCCGGAAAGAACGCATCACAAACGCATTCACTTCTACAATATGAGTAATGGGTACCGGTAAAATGTAAGTAAGGCCATGCAATAATTGATTCAGTTGAGAGCAAGGCTATATCTAGACTAAATCAAATTGAAAACTGAACAACACAAATGACAAATCTCACAATCAAGCCACCTGTAATGAAGACAGACCTTCGGACTTGGGGAATATGGGCTTTCTCACTGACTTTGATGCTGGCGTCAATAATTTGAGTGGAGAGGTGCCTCCACTCGGGAATCGCCTCACCAATTGTTCATTGGAGAGTAACTCCTTCTCAGACACCACAAACGCCAAAGGCATTTGCCGCCTCGACTAGATACATGAGAAACTTGCATTAATTCTAGAATAGATATTCATAAAATGATCAAGCTTTAGTTTGAATCAAACAATAACATTTCTTACATACAGTTGGCTTTGTTGTCGTCTGCCTTCTCGAGATGTTTGGCAAGGCATCGAAACAATTTATCGCGAGCAAATTGGGTGTATAGGTTTTGTCAAGAATGTGGAAATTGCAATCGAATATGAAGACAGGCATGAGGTACAGTACAGTACCGGTATGAATTACGATACACATATATCCGACTAATATGACTTCTACGGTTTGAAAATTAGCCTACACGTGCCGAACGGTGGTGTATCATGTGCAAAGTACACGTGTACAGCATCTCACGTAGTAAAAGTACAGTATGTGGAAGTTTCGCGAACTGGCACACACGCGTGGAGAGGAAGAATGGAGAAAGATTTTCTGAAAATCAGAACGCACACAGCAACACGAAACACGTTGTCAATAGGAGTTCGTGTTTTCATTCTTACGGTACACAAGTGTCACCAAAGGCAAGACTTCTTACTCTCTTACTTGGAATCAAGAAGAAGATACTATTGTAATCAATCTATCAATCGATATAGTAATATCAGCAAACAACATCAATTGAATTGTTTCTTCCTTCAGAGACAGAGAGAGAATATAATAATAATAATAATATAATTTTGCAAACGCGCAAATTATAAAACAAATACCGTACGAACGAACAGCCCTACATATCATTTACTCACTCGAAGTAAAAAGTAAAAGAACAAAAGACAATACAATAATGGTACAAGCAACTCTTGGCGACTCTGGTGTGTTGGTAGACAATCCTAACAACAACCCAGATGATGGAGTGGACAATGAAATGTCCTCTTCAGGAGTTTTGGTGGAAGAGCCCTCTCCCACGAGCAAACGGCGTATTGTCAAGGCTTCCACTCCTACTGCTACCTCCAACGACACACAAGAAGAAGATGATGAAGATGATCTAGTTACGGGAGATCAATCCGATCCAGTCACGATTATATCCTCCTTCAACGATGAAGAATTGTTGCAAGATTCCATTGAACATTCTCGTCAGAAGCGAATGCAACAATTGGCGGCCGATCAGCGATCCAAACGATCTTCCAAGCAAGCTAAGGGACGATTGTCAAAGTCAAGTAACAAAACCCAAGCCAATCCCTTTTCACGATTCCTCACGGCCTTTTCGGTCGATACCAAATATCCACATCACAAGAGATCCTACGACGAATCATCGGACAACGACGATGAAGAGGAAAAAAAACCATCCAAACATGCTCGATACGATGACGATGCGGATGATAGTGACGACGATGAATCATCTTCGGACACCACCAGTCCTACCATGACGCTGCTTTCCGATATTGCCGAAACGCTCATGGATAATATCGCGTTCATGGCAGTCGGTGCTGCGGTGGCTTCTTTGGCGTTCATGACTCTTGTTCGTAAAAAGGCTTAAGAGACTTGGGGCCTTTTGCAACATGCAATGCAATACCATACAGAAAAAAGAACACAGCATACCTTGCCAGCCAATCCGGCAATAAAATACCCAAAAAAAAGATGAAACACACCAAAACACGCGCAGCATGAAAATGATGACTAATTGATTGATTCGATTATTTCGTATGTAAAGAAAGCATATTATAACATCAAATACTACCACTACTGTAACAGTAGTCCATCCATGATGGAATTGACACATTATTGAAGTGCAACCAATTAATATAATGTGTGCTGTGGATGTTGTTCGATTGCTTGGAATGTTTTTCATGTAGTCAATCTAATCGAATCGAATCGACCAACTGGAACAAACTAACGAACACTAGGTAGTTCAGAAATATGGTCATCTTCCCATCTATCCTCGGGGGGCTCAGAAGACTCCTGTACAGTATTATCCGGTAGTTCTTTGATGGAACCAGATTTTTAATCGTGCTCCTACTACTGTAGACACGCCGGTGCTGGCCCTGTGTCAGTCGAATAGATATGGTACCTATATATATATGTATGTATGTGCCCAGATTCTGCAAGTTTGATGTGTAACAAAAAGCAAACGGTCTTGGCCCTCCTGCCTCCTGTGCTTTCCGAATTTATCCGTGTCCCAAGTTTTTTTTACACACAAAGAAACGGAGCTGTTTCAAGTCCACTATTTGCATCAACGATCCATTTTTTCCCTCCTAGGTACGATACAGTACCTATGAGGACAATACTGGCTGGCCTTGATGACCGAATATTTGTCATATCTGTGCCGAAATTGCGAAGCCCGAAGTTTGGATCAGAGAATTGTGTGAAAGTGAGTTGGCTGGGTTTTATTTCTTCCTTTTTTATTTAGGTGTTCCCACTCGCTTTCACTGACGTTTCCATTTTTCAGAATGTCCTTCACTGACACTACGATTTCCATTAAGTATATTAATTATATTCTTCCATTTGAGCCTCTCCTGTTCCCGCATCAAGTTCGAATTGCAAGAAAGCGTGTCATGCAACCATAATTTCCAGTCATTTTATGAGCATTTCACAATCATAATAATATCATCATCATCATGATCATCATGAACCATCAGAACAGATCATCATCGCCACCATCCTTTTGTTTTTCACAATGCAACTTTCTTGGTACGTCTATTGATCAATATTCAGAACTCTCAATATTATCCAGCAAGGCACCAGTAAGCCTATATACCCGGCAGGAAATGAAAGGACGAGCAGAAGGTATACTTGCATCGGAACTGAACAAACTGAGTTTGCAAGAAAGAAATGAGGCCCTAGAAGACATTCATTGTGTCGGACATGACCTGGAGGAAACACCCGAGCTTGTG